GGAAGGGAGGGTAGGTTGGAGTTGGCTTACATACCAGAAACTCTAGGATTTGTTTCTTTAATGAATTTCTAGTGCTTTTCTGATCAAGACTGAAGTCCTGTGGCAGGGCCAGCGGCCACTGGAAGGCAGATCCTTCACTGGCCAGCTCCACAAGGACACGACTGCTGCTGAAGTGTGTGTGTGTGTGTGTGTGTGTACACGTGCGCATGTGCATGTATGTAGGTGCATGTAAACGAGAGGGGTTTGGAGTGGATCATTTGCACTCTGCCTTTTTGCTGAACTCCAAATATCAAATTTAAGTGTTTAAAAAAGAACTTTGGGAGTTGCTCTGTTTTCTCCTCTTCGTCAGATGTCATTTTGGAAGGAATGTGCACAATTTTTCTATTTTCTTCTGTCTTTCTTCAAATGCTCCTGGAGGGCAAAAATTGTGTCTTATGCATTTCTGTCTCTCAGAGTATAGCAGAGTCCCTGGAACCCAGTAGGTGCTCAATTATTGTTCGTGGAATGGAAGTAGAAATCTTTAACAGGGCACTTTAACCACCCCTTTGGCTCCTAACTGTGCCTGCTTTTCCTTCTTTAGCCTCTTATAGATCTGAATATGTGGTTTCTCTTTGAAACCCCTGGACTTCTCTTTCTTTCCTTTTTTTTTTTTTTTTTTGATACCTTAAAAAAAAACTACCTTTATACAGATGACTTCCAAATTCCTTTGTTTCCACCCCTCCAGACTGCCTTCCCCCCATCTCCACCTTCTGGCTCTTGGGAATCCTATTGTGGGAGAAGGAAAGTGCTAGGGAGAAGGTACTCCACTGACATCTCAAAGCAGCATGGCTGAGACTACCCTTCTAGGACCCTTTTCCTGGCAGAGCTGCCCTCTTTGCACAAGTCTAGGCCAGGAGACTCAGACTTCCCTGCTGCTCTCATCTGGCGGTGGGCGGTGCAGTCTGCTGACGTCCCAGGCTGCAATGGGGTTGGAGGAACCCCTGGGTCTTGGAATCTGGGGAGGGGCTGGGAGTGTGGAGGAAGGAAGGCAGTCTGAGGTTGTGAGGTCTGAGAGGTTGCCTGGGGCAGGGCTTTGCAAACAGTGCTGTTGTACAAAGTGTTATGGTTCCTGCTGAGATCTCATCCTTTGGTTGGACACCCCAGACCGCAGTCCCTCTGAGCTGCCTTTCCTTCCAATCCCAAACACAGTTGTGTAAGCCATCTTCCTGTGTTTCCTATACAGAGAGTTGAGTCCAACCTCCTTCTTTACCACAAACTGCTTGACCCTAAGAACCTTCTGATTGCTTGCCAAGCCTCCAGCCCTTCACTTACCCAGTGGTTCTCCAACTTTAGGGTGGTTCAGAATCACCAGAGGGCTTGTTAACACACAGGGAGCTGAGTCCCACCCCCAGAGCTTCTGATCAGTAGTTCTGGGATGGGGCTGGAGATTTCACATTTATAACAAGTTCCCAAGGCTGCTGCTGCTACTGGGGGGGACCAATGCAGACCAACAGGCCCACTGATCCACTCTTCAGAAACCTCTCATCCATGCTTTCTCTCAGTCGAAGCAAGTGTTGCCATTTACTGAGCTAGCTTTCTGCTTAGCTTTTTAGACGCTTTATCTCATTTAATCCTCACAACAACCTTATGGAGTAGCTCTTGTTAATATTCCCACTTTAAAGAGGAAGAAACAGGCACACAAGTTATACGTCTTGTCCAAGGTAAGTGGTGCAGCTGTTTCAAAGCTGGGCAGTATGTTTAATCACCCTGGCATACTGCCTTAATGGTCTAAGGATTTCTTTTTCCCCCCGAATGGACGTCTTCGTTTTCTACCTTAGAAACACAGAGCTTTGCAAACAAGGTGCCCTTTCATTCTGCACCCCCCAACCCCCCACAATTTCTCTTTGCTGCTGGCTAAGTACAGCAGGAGAAAACACACATTTAATCTCCATTAAGGCCTTCAGACTTCTGGGAGAGGAAGTCTAGTCTGACTTGGGAATGAAGTCTGAAGTACTAAGAATTTTAAAGAAAGGCAGTTTTACTGCCTCCAATAGTATATGGTAAAATACAAATGAGCGACTAACTGGAACATTTCTCCAAGAATTCCTCTTAGCCTTTTATAATAAATAAATATGGCTCATTTGCATACAAGCTACTGTATTAAAGATCAGGGGCTGATTATCTGAGTTCTGGTTAAAAATATGTTACGAATTTTGCAGCTGAGTTTTCAGAGGCTCGATATGGATTAAGAACCCATGTTTGGGAACATGCAACCTTTAAGATCATCCCATCAAATGGACTGCTTTCCTTTTGTGTCAGATTCAGGTTTGGGTCTCTCAGGAGAGCTCTCTGGCAGAATTCACAAACTCAGAACCGGTACGTGAAGGCAAAATGTGATGCCCAGCAATGGAAAGCAGGGTAGGATTTGCTTTCAAATAAAGGCAGCACAAACATATTGGTGCTCTGCCCCAGCAGGAGTTCCCACACTTGCTGGGAGTTTGTATAAGTTACAGAATTTTCTAGAGATTCACTGTGTCTGGAGGGGACCAGGGAATCTGCAACATATGTAGTCTCAAATTTTATTTTGTTGTTTTTTCTTTTCCTTACCAATCTTTTTCCTCCCCATACAATTCTAATGCCCCACACTTTGAGAACCACTCCTGGATTTTGGGGAGAGCATGGGGCCTGGGGGTGGGAGTGGTTCTCAGATACTTCAGTGGCTCTATCCTTACCTGTACATTGGACTCACCTGCAGCTTTATAAAAAAAACACCAATTCCCTGGGCTCTACTCAAGACCTGATTAAAGCAGGATTTATTAAGAGTGGACCCCCTGCACATCGACATTAACAAACGAACAACAAAACACACAAAACAAAAAACTCCCTAGGTGAGTCTAACATGGGGAACATTGGTGAAAACCACGAAAACAGTCTGATTTGGAGCAACACGCTCAGGGTTATGACTAGCTGGGAATTAGAGGACAGCGTAGGCCTAATGTACGGGTGGGTAGGTGTGTGTCTTTTCCAAATTAGAGTGAACTCCTGTGGGAGAAGACCCTGACTTAGGAAACAGGTGCTGCCCGGCTAGGCAGCCACAGTCCTTCCTACACCTGATTCATTCTTTCTCTCCGCATGCTGCGGTGTGGGTCCACAGACCGGGGCTCTCCGTGCCCGTCAGCCTAAGGTGCTTGGGCAGGACCTTGCCCTCACTTGTGCTGGGCCCTGCAGGCGCTTCGCCCTCTCTACCGGGCTGCTCCCCTGCTGCTCAAATCTGGTTGCAGGAACCACTGCAACCTGGTGCTTTCTGAATGATATCCCTTCAGCTTCAGCTCAGGGGCTCTGGCTTTTCCATTTGTTTTCTTTTTTCTTTCTTATTTAAGAAGCTCAAGAGAACTTAAAAGCAAACCCTTGAAAGCTAAGCATTTCTAATCACATAAAGGTGTCTCTGCAGGGCCTGGACTGAAGAGGGTTTGTTTGGGGTCTTTCATCTTTCTGTGTATCCCCTTCCTTCTTCAAACAATCTTTCTGGGCTCTTATCCACCCAGCTTCTTTGCTGGATGCCCACCCCCATCATCTCCACGTTTGGGGCCCAGAGGGTAAAGGAGCAAAGGGTGGTGGCTGAGGGCCTGAGGGGGAAGGGCAGAAGCAGGCAGCCCCCAAGCTGGGCCCAAGGAGACTTTGTGAGAAAGTCCCTCTCCATCTGCAGCCCAGCCCGGTGGGAGTCAATTAATTCTGAATAACCTAAACCGACAGAGGTATTTGCATTCACAACCTGACTGATGACCGTATAAAATTGATTTATGAATTAAAGTGCTTCCCCTCCCTTTATCCCGATTCAGGCTGCAATTGATTATACGTGCTGCAGCAAAATTAAATAAAGGGAAATTAAAAAGAAAGGAAAAAGGAAAGTGAAAAAAAGAAAGGCCCTTGCTTGGCTGTCCGGCATTCTCAGGGTTCCCCAGGATTAGCCATTCTCTTCATCACTTATCATTTTTTAATTTATAAAGTTACTTCCCCCCTTTGTCTCCACCTCACTGCCCCCCACCCCCATCCCTGCTATCGGCAGCCTTCTCCTCTCTGGCCTCTGCCCACTCGCTGATCCTTTCGGGTGAACTAGCCAGTTACCCTTATGTTCCCTGGACAGGGAGAGAAGCTGGGAGGGGGAGGGCTTCCCCCGCGTAGCACAAAAATTTGAGGATTAAGCAAAGGTGTCTTCCATCTCTGCCTCCCTCTTCTGTGTCAGTCTCTCATTCTGTCCCTTTTCTGACTGCCCCCCGTTCCGCATGCACATGATCAAAATTTCCTTGCAGGAAATTATCTCATAAATATGTTCTCAGTAAGGAAGACATTAATGCTAAACTTTTTAATGGCTCATTCCTCTCAGTAGAAATTTACTAAAGAATAAAATGTTTAGATAAAGGATAAATCTCTAATCATAAAATTTCAAGCTCCTTCTACTTAAGGGACAACCGTTGTCTTAGTGGGAGGAGGGTCTGGAGTAGGGGAGTAGCGGAGCTGAATTCCAATAACCTATATAGCATGAGGTCAGGCTTTGGAAACAGCTGGACCAAGACTTTGAAAATTACTAGTCATGTGTCCTTGTGCAAGTCACTTAACCTTTCTTGCTTTCACTGACTCCCATTTAAGATGGAGATACCTCCCTAAATGGAGGTAATGCATGTAAATCCCCCGGAAGTGCGGCTCAGCAAACATGGCAGACTGTGCAAACATTAGAGCCTCCTTCCTTGCTTAGTCTGCTTATGAAACAAGGTAGTGCTAATTCAAGAGTTTTCTGATAGGAGGATAATCAATGGCTTTCTCCCAATTCAAACCCAGTGTTGCTATTTGAATGACAAACAGACAACTGTTTTTCATTGCCAAACCAGATCTTGAAAGCAGACTGCCTTCTTTACTTCCATAGCCACGGAGATCCTGGCACACAAAACACATCATAACTAAACCATCTCACTCAGTTCACCCTCACTGCTTCTTCACCTTTTGTCTTCCCCCTTCCTCCTCAGGACTGCCAAGATTTGATGCCCACTTCCTGCTACTTCTTTTCCTGCCTCCGTTGCTGTCGCAGAAAATCCCCTTCCTACTGCCCTCCTTTTACTGCCTTTAACAGGTACAGTATCCACCCCTCTCCTCTAGTGCTAATGTGTACTTTTATGGGTACCCTCATACTGAGTGCTGTCGGCCACATTTCACAGAAAGTTAAACAAGGTAGGGAGAGGTTGCGCTTGGGCCTGGCCGGAAAAAGCCCACTCTGTTGACAGCCAGCACGATGCACGCATTCCTCAAGCAGGAGCTAGTGGGGAACAGATCTCTGAACAAAAGTGAGGAGTGTGAACTCCAAAGAATCACCCCAAGAAAACTGAAAATCGGACTCCCTTCAGGGAATGTTTGAGAGGTGAATTACCTGATGAGACAGTTTCCAGGAGATGTTCAGGCTCCTCTAAGTGAGGAGCTAACCTGGAAAGGAAACTTTTAAGGGGTTTGGAGCCTCCCTTCTCCCCATCTCAGGAGAGCCAAAGTGCCTCCACCTCGAGGTGGGGTCAGGTATCTCGAAGCTTCATGTGTCTACTCTTCTCCTGGCTGATCCTAGCAGTCCCTTTTTGAAATGCATTAAGGGAGGGAAGATGCTTAAGCTCTTTTCATCCCTTTACTGCTCGGGATGACTGGGGTGACTAGAGAGCCTTGGAGCGGGTTGTGAGCGATCCCTGAGGGCTGAGGGTGGGGCTATGGTGAGCACAGAGGCCCCAGGGGGTGGCTGGGAAGGAAGCGGCCAAGAGAGGAGCCTGAGGAGGCAGACCACCTCTGCAACTTCTCTGTGGAAGCCCCCATGTTCATAGGAAAACACCCCAAACGCATTTTATTTGTTATTTATTTATTTATGGCTGTGTTGGGTCTTCGTTTCTGTGAGAGGGCTTTCTCTAGTTGCGGCGAGCGGGGGCCACTCTTCATCGCGGTGCGCGGGCCTCTCACTATCGCGGCCTCTCTTGTTGCGGAGCACAGGCTCCAGACGCGCAGGCTCAGTAGTTGTGGCGCACGGGCCTAGTTGCTCCGCGGCATGTGGGATCTTCCCAGACCAGGGCTCGAACCCATGTCCCCTGCATTGGCAGGTGGATTCTCAACCACTGCGCCACCAGGGAAGCCCCCCAAATGCATTTTAAGTGTATGTAGATGTCAAGAGGATAACACATTAATATAGGAAAGGAACCAATGGGAGAAATCTAAAGTGGATGGCTCTAATTGAAACCGAGTCCCCCTAAAACCGAATTCCCCTGCCGTGTTTATAATGAACCTCTCTATCTAAAACTTTATTCCCTTTCTTGTCTCACCCCTGTTACTCTCAGGATTGAGGAGTACCAAAGAAAAGGTGGGATTAAAACCAAGCAGGACCCTATGAGGTCCTCCCAGGTATGAAAGCCCTTTTGTATCCCCATTTCTTGTTTTTAAAAAAGGCTTTAGTCTCCTAGGCCTTCCCTGAGTTTCAAAGAGCAGACTCAAGCAGTTAACTAATTAGGAAAGTAAGGGAATGCAGAAACAAAGGACAAGCAGTCAAACAAGAAAAGTAATGATAGCTTAAATAATAGTTCAGTGATGAAACAGTCCTAGTTCCTCCTCAATGAATATAGATAACAATCTGACACATATCTTTGAGTTGTTCTGCAGAAACTAAGACCCCCAGCCAGGTGGAGGATGGTGACTACATGCTGACCACAAGCACACAGACCCCAGGCTGGTCGGAACCAGAAGGTTGATGGTTAAGATTCCTGAAACACCACCCTGTTACCTCACCACCAACCAATCAGAAGAAAGTCATGCCCCCTGAAACCCTTACCCTAAATGTTGCCTTTAAAAACCCTTCCCTGAAAGACATTGGGGAGTTCGGGTCTTTTGAGCATGAGCTGCCTGTTCTCCTTGCTTGGTGCCCTGCAGTAAACACTGTACTTTCCTTCATGACAACTGGTGTCAGTATATTGGTTTTGCTGTGTAGAGTGGGTGAGCAGACCCAGGTTTGGTAATATAAGAACATCTTTTTTAAGTGAAACAAAGAACTTCACGATGACTATTTTCCTGAGGCTGAAGCGGGTTTCAAAAACACACAGGTGGGGCTTCCCTGGTGGTGCAGTGGTTAAGAATCCGCCTGCCAACGCAGGGGACACGGGTTTGAGCTCTGGTCCGGGAAGATCCCACATGCTGCAGAGCAACTAAGCCCGTGCGCCACAACTACTGAGCCTGCGCTCTAGAGCCCATGAGCCACAACTACTGAAGCCGGCATGCTTCACAACAAGCCACCACAATGAGAAGCCCATGTACCACAGCGAAGAGTAGCCCCCACTCGCTGCAACTAGAGAAAGCCCGCGTGCAGCAACAAAGACCCAACTCAGCCAAAAATAAATAAATATATTTATATTAAAAAAAAATAAACCACACACAGGTGGGAAGGTGTTAAGGGTGGGCTATAAATGTAGCATCTAGCTAGCTGGGAATTGGCTTCAGAAGATCTGTCTGTCTGCAGCATGTGGCTGGAAATGGCATTTCCAAGTGACTTCTCAGACAGAAGTCCAAGTTCCACGGGCCAAAGGCTGTGGTGGAATAGGTTCCTTTGGGTCAGTTAAGACTGCCTCTCCTCCACAATGGTGATATCTTAGATTTCATCTTGACCTGGGCTGGGATCAGCCATCAGGCCATTTGGACATAACTATGACCTTAACCTCTGCATGTTAAGCTTGGAGGACAACCAAGAATGGTTGTGAGCAATCTGTTCCTAGAGCCTTGGAGCCAGCCAGTCAATGAGTCAGATGGGGAAGTGTGGGGATATAGAATTCTGGGAGGCTTGCTTCTGTTACTGAACTTCACAATGAGAAAAACCTGCACATGGATGTTTACAGCAGCTTTATTCATGACTGCCAAAACTTGGAAGCAACCAAGATGTCCTTCAGTAGGTGAGCATGGTATATCCGACAGTGGAATATTATTCAGTGATAAAAAGAAAAGCCAAGCCAAGGAAAGACATGAAGGAACCTAAAGTGAGTATTGTTCATTGAAAGAAGTCAATCTGAAGATACTACGTACTGTACAATTCTAACTATATGACATTCTGGAAAAGGCAAAACTATGGAGATAGTAAAAATATCAGTGATTGCCAGGGGTTAGAGGACAGGGAGGGAGGGAGGAAGGGATGAGTAGGTGGAGCACAGGGGGCTTCTCAGACAGTGAAACTCTTCTGTTCGATACTGTAATTGTGGATGCTTTTCATTATACGTTCGTCAAAACCCATAGGATGTATAAAACCCTAATATACACTATGGACTTTAGTTAATAAATATGTATAAATATTGGCTCATAGGCTGTAAGAAATGTACAACAGCAATACGAGATGTTAATAACAGGAGAAACTGTGGAGGAAGGAGGTAAGGGAATAGGGAGGGAGAGAGAGTATATGGGAACTCTGCACTTCCCATTCAATGTTTCTGTAGACCTAAAACTGCTCGAAAGATAAAGTCAATTAGAGAAAAAGAAAGAGAGAGAGAGGGATTCTTTTGTCATTATTGAGTTTTAGATGCTTGTTGGAAAGATCCTACATGAATGCCAACTTAGTTTATCAATCTTAATGACAGGCAGAAATGATTTCTGAAGACATAAAAACAGCCTGCTAATATACAGAAGAAGATATAGCCTGAAATAGTAACACTGTTGGGCCTGAGTGGCTGTCATTGCCATGGTCCCAGTGGCAAGCTCAGGACAGTCCACATGGTGTGACTCTGCTCTGGCAGTCTGATCCTCCTTAAACAATGATGTCTTTGGAGCTTCCAAAGATAAAGAGAACGAAAGGTCAAAACTCATACTATGGTAAAGAGAGCAACCTGAAGAGAATGGATAAAGAGTTGTTGAAACCACAAAAATCAGATCCTGGGATCGGTTTTGTCATAACAGCCCAGTCAAACATTCCTGGCAAGTCACTCAACCATATTAATGCTTTTCTTTGAACATCTTTGTCTCCGGTATCCCATGGGTTGGCTTTCCATTCTCAGTGCAGATGTTTCTCCTGGACTCTTCTCTACAAATGTTACAGAGAATGTCTCTTCTTTTGTTTAGAGAAAACCCAGTCTTACTTCTGGTCTCTAACTTCAGCATCTTCCAATATTCTGGACAGTCTTCCTCCTTTGGTCCCACCATCACAGAGTGGCCCAGGCTGGATTCCAGCTCCATTTCTGCTGCTGTCTGGGCTCCTGACCTCACCTAGGCTTATCTTTCCATCTGCCAGAATCTGGCACAGTCCAGACCAACATTTCTCCTCTTCTAGATGTGATACTTTGTCTACTTGGCCCAGTTTCCCAATGAATTCAGTGCTCAGCAATCATACTTAGGGAAATATGTCATTTATATATAGCACTGTCTCTAATTCAGCTCATCAAATTGTCTGACCTATAAAATCAGGCTCTGCAGAATCTGCAAAGAAAAAGAATAGCCGTTTTCCTTGGCTAAGATGTGTGCCAGTTAAATAAATAGAGAACAATCCCAAGCCAAGATAATAAACAAAAGCTTGGTGGTAAGGTGCTGTCTATATACTTAAATGCCAAGAGAATTCAAAGAAAGGAATAGATACCTTTGGGAAAGGCTTGTCAGTGAAGACTTTTGGAAGAAACTAGTATGTAAGATCTAACAGAAAACTTGTTTGGTCTAATGTACTCACTTCCCTTGGTTCAGCAAAGAGATGAAAAACAATCATGGTTTGAGTTTTCAGTAAAAGAGATGATAAAATAGTTAAACCAACCCAGAAAACGCATACACAAGGAAAAAGCAAAATAATAGCAAAAAGTTTCACCAAGCATATATTTTTTTCAATTGAGTTATTTGAATACATTTCCCACGTTATCTGATTGTGAAGTTTAAACCAGGTGATTTCAGAACACCTCCTGTATTATCCTTTCCTTCTCCTTTTATCTTGCTTTAATTTCTGCTGGTGTTGGAATAGGAAATTAATAGGATAAAAATAAAAACAGAAGGAACAAGAGTAAAATTGCCAAACACAATTGCGGGAGTCTTAAATACGTTGTAAATAGTGTAGAGTTCAGGGCAGACTTGGAGAAGTTAGGGCAGGACAAATGAAGAAGAAGAACCATATTGACTATGTTTTAAAAGATAAGTCACTTTCAACTCTGCAAATGAACAGGCCATCAGAAAACCTGATACCTGGCCATAAACTCTAAAGGCTGAGAAACATCTATGTTCTCAGAACACTCCTCATGTCATTAATGTTATCTTTTTGGAAAGGAGGATAATAGTACCTCATAGAGAACTGTGATGATTAGATAATTGATACATATAAAGCGTTTTGAACAGTGCCTGGAACATAGCAAATACTACAGTATTGACTTTTATTATTCGTATGTGATAAATACACACAAAAGGTAAAAAAAAGCAAACAGAAACTCAATCACTCTTAATATTTGGTTGGTATATTATTTTTAAGTAACCACATATTTGCTCTTTGCAAAATAAATGATATCTAGTATAGAAATGAGACAGGTTAAATGAATGTTTGGTCTGGGTTTAATAACAAATCCATGTTTTTGTTCAGATGAGGAAATAAAACCCTAATAATTACATTAAAATGAACTTTGATTGCCTGATATTAAGATCCAAAACAGGCATGTTTCGGACACTATATATATATATTTTTCTGATTAAAGAGTGGTTTAAGGGGATAAACCAATGCCACTAGAAATAAGGGCTTATTCCATTAAAAAGACCCTCTTCCAACCTTGGAGCCAATGTTCCAAACCTTGTGGAAGAGTGGGTTGACCAGTCCCTTAAGTGCCCCTGGTGGCTCCCACAAGAGTTCTTGTGCCACATGAAGGCTCTCTGCTTGATTTGGTTGGATGTCCTCACCACGTAACAGCCCCTGCTGGTCTAGCTACATGTTGGTAGATAAAGGGAAAAAGAAGGGTTCCCTGATGTGTTCCTCCAAGGCTGTGCTTTTGGTGGAGAAAAAGAGATGCTGGCTCGAGAACTCTGCTCTCCTGACAATCTGGAGAGGAACGTCCCTGCCACTGCCTCACTGAATTCTGCTTAACTTCCATGAAACTGAAGAGTGGGGACACACAGTCTCTTCACTGCCTAAATGACATCCCTTCTAGTCCTTCCAGCTCTCAGCATCTGAGTCTCATAGACAGTGTTTCAAAGGACAGCCCTCTGGTCCTCAGTTCCTCATGGTGACCTTTCAAAGGAAGACTTTTCTCAGCATATTTCAACCCCTAGTCTTCTTTTAAAAAAGACACATTTCTGCTCTCCAAAATGACATCTTCTCAAAGTACAGGTCTTTGCTTATCTGGATTCCTAAAGATATTCCCCAGGAGTCTGGGGGCAAATCTTCCATAAAACGATGCTGGACAACAGAGCAGCAACGT